GTCACCGGTCAACTATAGATCAACTCGGATGGAAAACTAGACCATGCAGCTCCGGGAGGTAGTGCAGCATCGATCGCGACTCATCCAAATCCTCCATTGACGCTCCCCACTAATACTAACTTGATTGAGGTGTATGTAGACGGTAGTTCTTCGACGGCGTTAGTTGATATCGGAGCTCAAGTGCCCATAATGAGTGCCAATCTGTGTCGCCTACTCAGAGCAGTCCTCACGCCAGCATTGACTAAAGCCCTCCGTGTCGCTGATGGTGAAACTGTGGCCATCACTGGAATGTGTACCACTCGTGTTAGCATTGACGGCCACCAGGTCCCCGTTTTCTTTACGGTGCTTGAAAATTGCCCTCACGACCTAATCTTCGGCATGGACTTTCTATCGACGCATTCTACTCTGATCAATTGTGACGCAGGTACTCTCTGCCTAGAGCTTGCTCTTCTCACGGATTCCCATCCTGAACACCCGAACAGCCTGTGCGCCACTGACTTTCTCCGGAGAACACCTAAAGCTATCACATTCGTTGAATTGGCAAAACCCTCTCCCGTGCTGGACGGGGATTATATCGTGCCGCCGATTGGTGATGTTCTCCTGGCGCATGACTTTACTGTCCCACACTCCATCGTAACCATGGCCTCTAACCGAACATATATATTTGCCTGTTATCAATTTCGGTTTCATAAAACAAGTGCTACCCGAAAGAATTTCGGTCGCCACTATAATACCCTTAATTGACGAACACGTCACCTGTTTTACGGCAGACGTATGTCCCGATCACCCACGTCACTCGCAGGATGCCACGTGCCTCGATGCGACCTTACTCTCCATGATCGCCGCGGACCTCAAACCTCAGAAAGCAGCCGCGCTATGCCGCCTTCTGGCTTCATACCGCGACATATTCGACGTCGACCACCGTCCACTCGGCCAGACTTCACTCGTCAAGCACCGCATTAACACAGGTGATTCTCATCCCATTCATCGGCGACCATACCGGGTGTCTGCCATCGAGCGTAAAGTAATTCGACAAGAAGTCACCAAGATGCTAACCAAAGGAATTATTGAACCCTCTTCGAGCCCTTGGGCGTCCCCTGTTATGCTCGTTGAAAACAAAGATGGCACGTGGCGCTCCTGTGTGAATTACCGCCATCTGAATAGAATCATGAAAAAGGACGTTTACCTTTTACCTCGCCCGCATTGATTACGCTCTGGATTGTCTTCACGGCGCCCGAAACTTTTCTTCAATAGACCTACGTTCCGGTTACAGGCAGATTGCTGTCGTCCAAAAAGACCAAGAGAAGACTGCGTTTGTAACTTCGACGGCCTACATCAGTTCAAGGTTTTGCCGTTCGGGCTATGCAATTCCCCAGCCACGTTCGAGCACATGATGGACTCTCTGATACAAGGGTTCAAACGGTCAACATGTCTTTGTTGTCTTGACGATATCGTTCTGTATTCCCCAACATTTGAGACCCACCTTCAGCGTTTGTCAGCTATTCTCGACATAGTCCGTACTGCTGGCCTTCAACTAAACTCGTCGAATTGTCACTTCAGCAGCCAGCAGATTACGGTGTTGGGCCACTTTGTCGACGCATAATGTTTGCAGCCTGACCCGGAGAAAATACGCGCCATCACGAGCTTTCCTGTACCCCAATCTGTCAAGCACTTGCGGAGCTTTGTGGGACTTTGTTACTATTTTAGAAGGTTCGTTAAAGTAATTGCAACGATCGCTCGACCACTCACCGACTTTCTTAAGAAAGAAGTGACCTTTACGTGGGGTTCCGCCCAAGCTGCGTTTTTTTCTCACCTCATCACCCTTCTTACGACTCCACCTATATTGGCCCACTTTGACCTGTCCGCTCCGACAGAAGTCCGAACCAATGCGAGTGGTCACGGGATCGGAGCCGTCCTAGCCCAATGCCAGCGGGGACACGACCGAGTTATAGGCTACGCTAGCCGCCTACTCACAGCTGCCGAGCGCAACAATTAAATAACAGAGCGTGAATATCTTGTTCTTGTTTGGACAATGTCAAAGTTCCGCCCATAATTATATGGCACAAATTTATCTGCGGTAACTGACCATCATGCACTATGCTGGTTTACGTCACTGAAGGATCGTACTGACCGGCTCGAGCGCTGGGCTCTGCAACTTCAAGAGTATACCTACACGGTGACGTACACGTCTGGATGCCTACATCAGGACGCAGACTGCCTGTCCCGCTACCCGATTGCAGAGTCGAGCACTATGCCTGACACCAACACCGAGCCTTGCGTCTTTTCCCTTTCGCTAATGACATGCATCAGTTGCGAGCAGCGCCACGATGCGTCCTTGCGTGCTATAACTGAGCGCCTCGAATCACCATCTTCCAATCAGTCCCATCGCTCATTCGTGCTCTACGATGGTGTATTAAACCGCGAAATTTGTGAGCCGGATAGACCGGCCCTGCTGCTTGTCATTCCGAAACACCTTCGCTCCGAAGTTCTACATGAACTTCACGACCTTCCGACTGCTGGTCACCTTGGTGTGTCACGCACTTACGACCGAATACGCCGACGCTTGTTTTGGCCAGGGCTTGCACGCTCAGTCAGAAGATACGTTGCGGCTTGTGAGAAATGGCAGCGCCGCAAAACACCATCGACACTTCCCTCCGGATTCTTTCAACCACGTGACATTCCGTCAGAACCGTTCTTCCGCGTTGGCTTGGACCTACTTGGCCCTTTGCCCTTGTTTTCCTCGGGTAACGAGTGGATAGCCGTGGCCACCGACTACGCCACACGTTATGCTATCACACGAGCTCTTTCAAAAAGCTGCGCCACAGATGTGGCCGACTTCCTCCTCTAGGACGTGATTTGCAACACGGAGCCCCACGGCAGCTGCTTACAGACCGTGGCCGCACCTTTTTGTCGAAGGTCATAGCCGACATCTTGCAGTGCTGTCAAACGACACACAAGCTGACTACTTCATACCACCCACGAATCAATGGGCTGACGGAGCGTCTAAATTGACATGCTCGCTAAGTATGTTTCTACTAACCACACCGACTGGGATCACACGTTGCCGTACGTAACATTTGCCTACAATTTTTCACGCCATGATACTGCCGGTTACTCCCCATTTTTGCTGCTGTTTGGCCGAGAAACAACATTGCCTCTAGACAACGTCATACCATCCCCTACAGTCCGATTAGTGAATATGCCATGGACGCCATCACTCGGGCCGCTCACCACGCGAAATCACCCGTACTCGCCTTCTGACCTCTCAAGAGAAGCAACCGCCTTTCTATGACCAACAACACCGCGACGTACACTTTCCGCCCGGTTCTTTGGTCCTGCTCTGGTCTCCGACTCGTGAAGTTGGCTTGTCTGAAAAACTGCTTACTCGCTACAGAGGTGCATACCGAATTCTTCGTGTGGTTACTCCTGTAACATACGATATTGGTCCTGCCACCCCGTCGCCTTCGTGCGCCCAACAGTCTGCCGATATTATACATGTTGTGCACTACAAGCCCTACTACTCTCCCAGTGACGTTGACATTTAGATGCGCCGAGACGGCGCTTGTGCCACCGAGGGTTATGCTACATGCATCCATATTGATATTCTTGGCGGCGACGCGCGTGCGTGCCTGACGAGGAAGACGAAGGGTTGTCTGCGCTGGATTGCTGGTGAACCGGTCATGCAATTACAACTGATTTTAGGTACACATAATCCCCAGCCTCGTCGATACGGTGTCTCTTCCTTTCTGTAACAATATTAAAGCCCTAAATACAAACGCCAGTATCGATAACCCTAAAAAATGCCGTGATTCGGAACACGTGGCGTATGTACTTATCATCATAGTCCTCAAAAACACTCGTGGTTTCAGTATCCAAAGAGGGGGCGTTCACAGTGATATGTCAACACAGTAAGTCATAAGGGTACTGAAACTCGTGACTTAGTAGCATCAGCTCTGTCAGCTGCTTGTTGTTAACTTGAATAACGATGAGTTAATTGTCGTTCAGCAGCAACGATTTCGTGGTATGCTGGATGCATAGTTCACAAACCCACCGAACTTTTTACTGGCAACGATGGCATTCGTCGCGGTGAGGTTGGCCTGCATCAGTGCGATAAAAACGTTACAAACAAATATTTTATATGGTTTTTTCACACTACTAATCAGGTCCTGGTAAAATTTTGGCTATATCTAAGAAAGCACAAGAATGATGTCGGGTTTCCTTTCTATATCTGGCATTATAAGTGAGATTCGATACAGTGCAGCTCCGCTGTGTGAAAAGCGTTCACAGTAAAACGAGAAATGTTCCTTTTACGACGCCACGAAATCCCAACAGTCAGCGTTTAAGTTAGCAAATACACTGTAATCATCATAATGTTAGCTGGTTGTCTATACATAGCGAAGCAACTACGCTGAACTTGTTAAAGCTGAGTAGGATACCGCAAGCTTGACCAAGTTCGTTCTGAATCGATTAGCTAAGAATCTGAAAAAACTCCTCCTGTGTGAACTATTACTTTGGAATTAGCTCTCTATGACGATAGTTTCCGTAAAATTGTAGATAGGTGGGCTACATGACATTTCATCATAGCGGTCAAAGAACTGAGAGCACGGGTACAAAGACAACAGACTATGTTCCATCGCTCAGCTTGCCGCGATCTCATTTGTTTGAACAGCTGGCTTCAGTTAGTTGCAGAATACAGCATTACTTTGGATAATTTGAAAATTTTCATTTGTGTCCCAAGGCAAATCTGTACAAAATAGGGCTCGAATGCTATGCACATGAAATGACAACGACCACTGTTTCCGTTTATGGAATCCGAATATATCAGACGTAGCATGGATGCATGCGTTATGAAGAAACTCCATAGCACTGACACAGGTTTGCGTGACTTTTTTACGCCAGAGATATATGCGGTGAAGAGGCTCCAACCTATTTCACTCTTAGTGCAAGGTGCTCGTTAACTAAAATAAGAGACAACGACGAACCGCACTATGGGTACGTACCGTGTCGAAATGGTGGTCGGCTGCGTCCACGGCACTGTGAACACCAGCCTTTAACAGACGAACAATGGCTGCAACAATTTCCATCAGACGGTTGAGAAGATCTGTTGCAGTCATGACCCACCTACAAAGTACAGCCATCTGCACAGACGCGTGCACAGGTGGTGAGCTCTAGTTGAACACCACCGTAAAAAAACTTATGCAAGACATAGGTGAGGCGATACCCCGTAATAAGTGTCCCGTGTGGCTGTACATGCCGCTGTTTTGCATTCCAGAACTATATACACCATTTTTTCGTGAGTGCCGCCATAATGCCTAGTGGCCACCATGGTCTCCGGTCTGGCAGCGAGTTTGTCTGGTTAGTATTCACGGGGCTGCAGTTTTAGTCTTTTTTTTCGTTATGGCACAATGAAGGTCGTAAAAGGTAAAGCAGTCTAGGTAGTAAATGAGTACGAGACGTTCTGGAAAGGTTTGATCCATTCATGGTCAAATGTTATATACGAATGCGCGGACTTATCCCAAGGAGTGGGTTCACGTCATCAATTTTCGGCATTCTCTTTCTGTCCCCCCCCCCCCCCCCCCCAAAAAAACGCCGATATTTCGGCGCGTTCTAGCAGGTAAAGGAAATTCTGCAACTCTTTGGGGATGCATTAAATTTTTTGTGCATTGCGAAATTGATGATGTTGTACCAACCATGGCGCGTACGTGCAGTCTTTCTTAAACACGCAGTCTATTTTGTGGCAGGGGCTACAGCTATTTGTTGTCGGGAAACAATTTGTGTTTCTGAACTTTTAAATTACCGATTATTGCTCGCTCGTTTATTCCGCCACGTGTGGACAATTCAGCTGTCTATGGGCAGGTGCCGGTATATCAAACAATGCTGATGTTGACATTTCGCTAGGAGAGTCGCTATATTGCATTGGCTTTCGGCGGCTATAAGATGAACTTGGTGAAAATTTATTCTGCCGCTGAGCCATGAAGCCTGCCCGGGATTCGTCCTATGACCCGCATCGGAGGTAACGGCTGCTTGATACTGTTATACATAACTTCGCACATAATACGTGTAGTACTGTTTTGGCGAAATTCGTGCTGCCGTTCGCAAAGCTAAGCTGAAAAGTTAGCAATTCAGGAAACACTAGACAGTCCTAACAGCGCGGGTTTTTTATTCATTGCTAGGAGAATAAAGTATCAACGAGCAACTTGTGCGGCACGGTTTTTCAACACGAAAAATGTCTTCGCGAAGTAGTGACGAATGATTGTTCTACACATAAAGCGACAAAAACCACTTTAGCTACAATTCACCTTGTTCTAGCCTAGTAACTTCACGGCAAAGATGTCTTCACGTCCGGTTCATCTATGTTCATTAAATGTCAGAGTTTTACAGAGCCGGTGCAGAGCACAAGTTAGATTTGCGAGACCGATTACCTCGCAGCAAGGGAGGGATTTGTCGCTCGTACTAATGAAGCTACATAAACGGCGACGATTACCCTGTTGGGCCGAGCTACAGACTAATTATTAGAACGAGCACATGTCAAAGTTTATATCAAAAGAAAGCGTAAACAAAACAAGTGGCTGTCCAGCATTGTTAGTTCACGTGCTATGCTTAAATGCTAAGTGTGCGGAGTTTTGGTACTGACATGAGAACCCGGAGGCCTCCGGAAACTGACTATTTGGTGTTATTTATCGTTCAGTGACATCGCACAGTACATGGGCCTCCATTGAAATGCGACCGCCGCCGCCGGGATCACAGCCGTGACTTCCGGGTCAGCAGCCGAGAGCTCTACGCACTGGCCGACAGAAGCGGACGGTGCTTAAATAATTCTCACTTCACCGGGTGGGGTCGCACTTGTCAATTTATGTTTGTTCGCCAATCTACACGGCCATACAATTGTTTGACCACGCGGGATGCAAGGCATTCTGGATATACTGTGACGTTTGGCAATTTAAAACCTGTAGCGTCGCAGAAACGACGCATCATCAAGAGATCACAAACCGCGAACATTCCGCGTCTGGCGATGCACGTCAAATGACTATTTAGACAACGATTTCCTTTTTTCCGTAATTGTTGGAACAACCAAAAGTGGCACAATGGTTTTGCGATGACTTTTCACTGCCGGACAAGGCAATATAAAAGAAAAAATTTCCAGGTCGACACAAAATACGCGAAAATTATTAAATAACGCCATTAATCCGAGCCCCGGCATCGCACTCCTCGCCAGCGCACACATGCCAGAAAGCAAAACGCTGGTTGCCAGACAGGTCTTTCTCGCTCGTTAGGCATGAGCGTAGTATCTCTAGCCCAAACGCGAATTTTCCTTTTCACTAGCAGTGATCGAATCTGTATCTCTACTGTGGTTAGGCAAAAAGGTTAAAAGATCACGTAAAATTAATTTCGGCGCACAGCTGTCTAAGTAAACGGGCACTTGTACGTTCCCTACCCCCAAAAATGCTTGTTGGCAATCCTGAGACACCTTGAATGATAACACACGCTTCTTGAACCTGTGCGGTAAATTTTAACACATTCCAGTGGAGCTCAATATACAGAGATTATGCTAATATGGCCGTCATTTTTGTTGACCAACCTTTTATCAAATTGTGTGCTTGCACACATGTGTGGGTTTTCGTGTTCGCCAATAGGTCAGGTTACTGTCTCTACCAGTTGCCGGTATATCATCACAAATGTCGATGCAGGGCACCACCTCGGTGGTGATTGCTGTCAGTGTTCCTTACAGGTACGTTGGAAACGTCTTTTTTTCACCGCTCAGTTTGACATTCGCTAACTCGTCTCGCACGAGAATAGTCATATCCAGGATAATTAGCGAGCCATTGGTGGAAGCGACTACAGAATGTATGGGCGAAACAAAACGCTTTGGAGAGCAGAAAGCACTTATGTATTCATGGCGAAGACAGCCTCTGCGGCGTTGGAAAGTTGCCTCTGGGACTCTAGGTGGCTAAATGCACGCGTCCAGGATATGCTGAATGACTGCTAAACAAATATGCGCGCGGTATTCACACAGCGAGCATTCGCGCAGGCAAACTAGCGTGTTCACTCATTACACTGTCTGATCACTGATTCATTTATTGTATACATATTGTCACGTTCCTTCCTTAAGTTTTCTTATCACCCCGTTACACTGTACGCGATTATCAGCGCGAACTGCGCCTACATTGTTCGAGAAGCTTCAGGGCTGCTGTAGACAGTTTTGTTGAGGTTACGCCCACATCGTGAGCATTTCAGATTCTTCTGGAATCTACGTCGCCGCCAGAGATAACGCTAGAATGTTCGATGGCGTAAGTATAAATGCCTACTGGCTTCGTCGCTTGTCAGTTGATCGACGGCCGACGCTGCATTCACCGCTATCAATGCAAGTGTGCTACCGTAACCCGAATTTCCGTTTATCGGACACAGGTTCGCCCAAATAAACAGTTTGATCTGGCCATCTATTCTGCTGCCTTCAGCCATGTCACGACCCCGTTACATCTGGCGGAGGTGCTTCCCGACCCATGTACCGCACGCCCCCTTCCAGCTGTGAACCAAGTCTACGTTGTAGCGAAGACAGCGACACCGACCTCGATCAGCGGGTCAGCCGCAGGCAACAAGGTCTACCACTAGAGTACGGGCTGTTACCCAACCAGACTCGCACGTCCACCATGATGACTATGGCTGCAACGATGGCTGCCGCTGCGCCACTGCCTGTGACTATCTAGATGCACCCAACCAGAGAACCACCCAGCTTCCATGGAGCACCTAATGAAGACCCGGAAACCTGGCTCGACACACATGACCGAGTGACCTCCTTGAAAATTGGGACACCAAAGAAAAACTACCCCGCGTATACTTCTGCCTAGAAGACGCCAGAAAGACGTGGTTTGAGAGCCGAGAGTCCACGCTGCGAAACTGGGACGTCTTTCGGACGACGTTCCTCTGCACTTTCACGAGCGTCGCCCGCAAGGAACGTGCTGCGACTATCTTGGGTACGCGTGTGCAACTCCCCAACGAGAACGTCAGAATCTTCGTCGAGGAGATAACCTGGTTGTTCCGCCACGCGGCCTTCGCCATGACCGAGGACAAGAAGGTCCTATTTCTTTTGCGAGGTGTTGAAGAGTTCTTTGCGGGGCTTGTGCCCAACCCGCCGAAGACCGTTGAATTCCTCACCGAGGCCAAAACAATCGAGAAGGCTCTTCAAATGCGCACAAGGCAGTGTGACCGCCGCTCCACAGCTGTACACAACTCCGAGGCTCATGCCCTCGGGAACGACGACCTGCACGAGACAATGAGAGCGATTGTGCGCGACGAGCTGCGCAAGCTATTACCTTCACTGCAGCCTCAAGTTGATTCGATCGCTGGCATTCTGCGAAATAAGGTTCGGCAATCTTGGAATGTCCGAAGCTCCACAGCCTCAGCCGCAAGCGATCAGCTACGCTGCTGCAACCCGACGCTACGCTCCCGCTTCACGCCCACGTCAACAGGCCGCACCGTCGCAGTTTCGCCACCAGCCACCGCCGCCGCCAACGCCTTACCGTCTATCCGCCGGTCAGCACAATGCTCCGAAGAAAACCGAGATGTGGCGTGTCCCAGACCACCAACCTCTCTGCTACCAGTGTGGAGAAGCTGACCATACCTACCACCGCTGCCCGTACCGTCAGATGTGGCTGCGTGGTTTAGCCGTAGATGCGCCACATCCACAGTGGTGGTAAACGCTGCGTGGCATCGTCGACTACCTTGCAGAAGCGCAGAGGACACTCCGAGGCTGTTCTCGTTCGCCGTCACATGGCCCCTACATGCCACCTCAGCGCCAGTTGTACACTGGCCCCACCTGAAGCTGGTCTCCTAACCCTTATCCGGGAAACTAAGGGCAGCAGCGGCTGAAGGGGCGGTTGCTGCACGACAAATGCCAAAGAACATCCGCAGACGAGGACGACGACGACGCCGCGACGAAACCTCAAGAACCCACCTCAACATGAATGTTGTCCTCAAATGAAGACATTCAGGCCAGATAACGACTTGATGACGCAACGTCGAAGCAGCTGTACAAAACGTAGTAGCCGAGATCCGACACCACGATCTAATTGCAACACGAGGAGACGAACTAGTCACCTCGATGTCCTCATCGACGGCCACAGCGTCACAGCTCTCGTCG